CAAAATAAAACGGATATATTACTCTTCTTGCTATGTATCGGCATTCTGATCTTCGCCGAGAAAATCTTTGACAATCACGCGTACAATAGATGCAGTGAAACTATTTACATGAATCTCATCACATGCCTTAACATCACACTTCTCAACAAAATTTGGCACAATGTGTTTATAATAATTCTTGGTATTTGGCGCAGTATCGTACAGGCAATAAAAAAATCGAATTACCTTGCCTTATTTTTTATCTCAATTGCTAATCCCCTATTTATGCTAGCATCATATATTTCTCTCGCTATCTATACTGTATTTCTAAAAAATCAATACTCATCGGGCCTTTGCATCGAAATTTTTTCTCTGAAAATGCTCATATTAATTGTGTTCACGTGCGGATGAATAAATAATAAAGCCAAAATCGGGTGGAACGTAGTGTGTGTGTGAATAAACTTCTAGCTACGCGAAGCCCTAGAGTTAATCGAGATTATCAATAGATCTACCAATCATGTGATTTACTAATATGATACCGATATATTGATACGCGTGAAACCCATCAGTAGTCTGATTTGTCTCTCATAAATCATAATGGACGCAAAAAAAGAAAGAAAGACGACTACTGAAAAAATACTCGGAAAAAGTTGCAATAATTTTCTTCACGAGTACCTGTTGCAAAGAAAGAATGACGCTTCTTTTGTAGAAAATTCCCAGACTGAACATAGTTGGTATTTAGCTGAGTTAAAAGAACAGCGAAGGCTTAATGTACAAAGCGCGGAAATCGCCTTTAACGCGTTCGAGGTATGAGTATATTACCTTTTTTGCTTACTGCAACGCTCTGGTTTTAATTTACCCAGCAAGAGCATCCGCTGGTTGCTCTTGTAATGATCCGCTGGTTCGGGTGGACTTTCAACAAGCAAGAGTATCCGCTGGTTATTCTTGTGATGATCCGCTGGTTCGGTTGAAGTCAATTTCGCTTCATCTAGCAAGAGCATCCGCTGGTTGCTCTTGTGATGATCCGCTGGTTCAGATGAAGCTGGATCCTGCACTATCACGAAAAATAGCCCCTTTATTTTCTGTACTGAATCTTTCTCCCTTTTAAGACGGAAAAAAAGACACAAGTTGTACGCAACTTCTGGAAGGAAATTGAGGAAAAAACCGCTATTCAAACTGCCTCTCTAGGACATCTCAACATATTTGGAAGAGCGGTAAGATATCAGAATGGAACGTCTATAAAGTATCTGGACTGTATTAGTCTATTCTAATACTTTTTTCTGCAAACAGCTTACTCAATATGCATATAAGCAGGAGGTACTAACCGAAGGTGTAAAGTTACGACCTCCTCAAAAACGAGAAAATGAGACTGAAGAAAACGTATCTTCATGTAAAAAGGTAAAAATCACAGTGGTAATAAAGCTACGAGAACATAAAAGTTTATGCACATTTCCTATATTAGGTGAAAGAGAGCATGAATATTCCTGATATCCACGAACAGAAGGGGCAATGCACGTAAGCTTCATCACGTTCGTCATTCGTTGTTGATGTCTGTTATTAACACATTATCATTCATTTGGCTTAAGCGAACCAATTGCGGAAAACAATCCGTTTTTTGATAATAATATTGATGATGAATCGTATGGCGAATCGCTGAATTTGTATGACGATAATTCAAATTGCGAAATATCTGAGGTATATTTGGACACAGAGAAGGTATGATAATCATTGAAATAAATATCCTAGGAGTTAAATAGTCATATCAACAAATAATTTGGCATGATCCTTTAATTTTTAGCACGAAACGTGCTCTTCAAATGACACACGAACCCCGCATAGGTTGTTATATAATAACTTTTGTCACGTTTGCGTTTCTATCTCATTTTTAGATAAAAATCGGGTGTCCAAGAGCGAATATCGCCGAGACATCACCACTATCGTCACAGCCAGAATTGGATTTCGTATCCAGGGACAATCATGAATTAGACTCACTTTTAGATAATGGACATGTTGACTGCCCAGCCATTATCAATGATGTTATGAAATTGCAATTGGGATCTTTGCCCCGAGAAGAGTCCAGATGGATATTAAATAACCTCGATGTCTCCGAAAAATGGCATCTATTTAAAGAAAAATCACTAGAATTAGCAAATAAAGAAGGTCTATTTGTCGAAAGTCACACACAACAAATATTGTATGCTTTCAATTTTTTTTTTCATCGATTAGATTACTGCGGAATAATTGCAATTATCTTAATACTATATAGATCCTTATCACACGTTCTCTTGTTGAAGCCTAAACAGCATTGTCCGTTAATGTTGGAGGTTTTTGGTGGGGATTTATTAGAGACCATGCACAAGGACATAATAAAGAGATTCACCAAGCAAGAATCGGAATTTGACGAAAAAACATTAATAGAGCTTATTCGAATTATCAAGGTATTACCATCATTTTTACACTTATTTGTTGTGAAAAAATTTAATGTGTTCATTATTCTTGTTACAGCTCCTGCAACGAAATGAGATTGATAGAGACAAAGCAGTTTCAGAACTGCAAATTCTTGCAGTTGATCGCTCTTATGGGGAACGCGCAATTCTGAAGGCAATAAGAAACATGTAAGATTGTAGCGAATTTTGGGACGAGGTCTTTTACAGTATCCAATGCTCACACATTTTTCATCCATTTATTAGTATCGAAAGAGTGCCAAGAACCACATTAAAAAGCCCTATTGGAGAGGTGGAGCTTTGTACCACTTATATTGATCCAATTCTGTGTCCGCTTTTCAGCAACCCTGATTGTGGTATATTTCTGCGATGGTAAGCCTTTTAACTTGATTATATTTTTATATAACATTTCCTAATCAATAGGAATACTATAGGTCGAATAAACAGGCAGAAGAGTCCAAAGCTAGAAAGCAAATAGGCAGGGCAAAACAACCCGACGCTATCATCAACGAAATCGATCAGCTGTCTTGGGGCTTGAGCAAAGGGCACGGTGAAGCGAAAGTTCAAGAAGAGGCGAATAACCTTTACCTCCTCTGCACTGATCTCATCCGGATAGCGGTGTTTAATAAGGACGCAATTGATTTTTATAACATGAATTGTATGCTCGGATTTCAGGTCGTCGGTAAGTTTTCCAACAGTAACTTTTTTCAGATCACTCATTACTGAACAAGTGCTCTGTACTCAATAGGGCAACACATCACATTCTATCTCACCACTCTGTTGTGTGATGCCTTATATGTTATGGTGGAAGTTAGTCACGTTGATGCGCCTATGTCACTTGAAGAGGTTCCTGCCTTCCTCACCAGTCTTGATACGCTTCTCATCATATCTAATACGTTTTGGGATAATTGTATTGTTTCTACCGAAAATAAAGAATCAAGCAGGCGAAGCACTCTTGAAACACCAAGTTTTAAAGAAATGGTTTCAAAGAGTCGGAATCGGCATCGATCTTGTCAATTACGGTTTTAATTTTTTCCATCATTCTGCGTAATGTATGCTAGGTTTGCATTTGTAACTGTTTAACACGTGTGATGCATCGGAAAATAAAAATTGTGTATACATTAGAAAATTAAAGTATCAGATCAGTGCTTTGCACTTTGCGTGAGGGCATTTACTTTTTATATAATTTTTACATACTTTTTTTATGATGTTTTATGCTAACCACAAATATTGTTGCTGGTGAAGACCAACTTAAAAGACAATGCAAGATGTTCTTTGCTATTTATTACTTTGATTTTGGAGAAGCATTGAAGAAACGGTATGATCATTATAGATCATTAATATTGGTGATCATTCATTAGTTGCCGATGACGTACAGAAACGCTTCCAAAAGACATTTCAGAAGAAGCTCTTCGAAAAAGAAACTGAAAGGTGTGCTACTGCGCGCCTGTGACATGTATGTCACGCATCAAAAAATTTGCCTGTATCTGTCTAGGTTTTTAACATGCTTCAAAAAACAAGGGTCAATCATCTCATGATTTAAGTTGCGAGAAAGTTGCAGGGAGCCAGGGTGATACGGTGGTTATACCTGTGATACGATGTACGTCATGAAAAATTAGCTTAGCCGAGATATAAATTCCCGATATGCTTGTAATCGAATAAAAATGAATATGATATTTTATTATAATATACTTGCTATAAATTGCTAAAAACACTATAAATCTATAAAATCAGTGAAATTACTATAAACTGTTATAAACTCCTTATACTTGGTAAAATGGCTAAAACTAACCACTATAATGGTTTAAATCCTATAGTAGTGCAGGTGTTAAACAATCTGCAATATAGGTATAGTGGTGAAACACCAGAAATGTGGTGTTCTCGTGTTCGTTATCCATTTAAGAAACTTCTTGAATATAACCAAAAATACTTTTCGAAGAATGGATTTATCCAGATGATCGAAAGAATATATATAGATGGGGAATTTAAAGCTGGAAGACGATCATTTCATATTTATTGCACTGTATGCAACTCCTTAGTAATTATCTGCGAAAATACTATAGAATGTGCGAATGGTCACCTGAATAACTGTATTACTAGAATCGCTAAAAGGCATATTGCATAT